TCATCAAGTCTAGTTTGTCCATACCAAATTTCAGCTCAAAATTCGTCCGGGAAGACATTCAAATCTTTTTTTGAAGTTGACTGCGTTTTTATATGTATATTTTGACGCAGTCAACTTCAAAAAATGATTTGAATGTCTATTCTATCGAATTTTTAGTTGAAATTTGGTATGGATACACTAGACTTGATGAAGAACATGCTCAAAAAATTTCATCAAAAAATTACACCGGGAAGATTCCCAAATGGGCTCGGCCGGACGGAGGTTCCCGTCAGGCCGACCTGACAAGAAGAATTCTCTCTCTCTCTCTCTCTCTATATATATATATATAATTATATATTAACTAAAATGATCTTCTACAGTAACTTCAACCAATTCAGCAAGAAAAATATTCCCAACCTTACTTTTTCTTATTATTACACAATTCAGCGTGAGAAACCCCAAAAGTTACGCGTTTGCTGTAAAGGTTGGTTGGTAAGCCCGATAAGCCAAAAAACAGGGTTACCAAACATACCCTTAAACTCTTCTCAAATACTGCAATGGAGGCGACCACCCAAGGCAAAAATGGTTGATAGAGCTTCATGCATTATTCTAAACTCTTCTCAAGTTTCATGACTGTTGTGTCATTTTGTTCTATTTTAAGTTGTAGTTTTCTTGACGATTTTGGGCAATTTTGTTTATATAATACTTTTGTTCTATTTTGTAGACTATTTTGGGCACTTTTGTCTATATAATATAATAAAACAAACCCCTAAAGAACTATTTAGAGGAATTGTTGACATGTGGCAACATCCTTTGTATAAAAAAATGACACGTGGCAAAACAATAAATTAAAGAAAAAGCTATTCAACTTCCATAACTGTACTCTTATGTATTCCAATATTATAGATATGTTTTTATATTAATATATGTGTATATATTTGTTATAATGTTCAATATAAAATTAGATCAAATTTTGCATTCGCCGGTATTACAAGATCCAAATACTCAAAAATAAAAATAAGTAACAATTTTTAGCCACTCTTAAAATAAAAATATTATTTCTACTTCTTTTCAATAAACTCTCGGAGATTCTCCCTTATTCGGGTTTTTTTTATAAATTGTTTCTTATTTGTTTCCAAAATGTGATAATTATTACATCCTTCGTCTCATTAATTTTCTCCGACATATCATTTTTCTTTCGTTCACTAAGTTTGTGTAGTTCTGAATATTATAATGCATATGTAGTTCTAAATCATTCTTACATTAAGTAACTACTTTTCATTTCAACATTAGCTAGATAAACTCTTTTTTAATAGTTGCACATGTCTCGATCTTAATAGGACAAATTTGATGTTACTTATCTACTCCGTATTTAATAATTCACAAGGTCAGTCAAATCAATCTCTAAAGGTAGATTCATTTTTTGTCACATATTTATTTATACTTCACAATTTATGTTCACGTTGTTAAATGGGTTAGCACTCCCCAATTTTATAGCTTGGATCATCTAAGTGCCTAATGAACTCAAAATGCACATTATTTTTAATAGGGGTGCACATTACACTTACATGTAAAGAAATTCAGACTTTAAAATGATAGGAAAGGTTGATTTTTTACAAAAATGTCACAACATTTTTTATTTATTATAGCCCAAATTTCTATTTCAAATGATGCATAAATTTCAAATCTAACATTTCAGTTCATTCCAATTCACTTTTTACACGTTAAAGTGTCTTCTCATTTGAACTCAACCTTATATTTATACTCCGTAATACACAATTTTCAAATCTAATGTTCTGGTACATATATAGAAATAATGCTAGAGTAATTTATTTGAATAATTATTATATATAGAAATAATAGTTCAACAAGGGTTATTAATTAATAAGTATATTTGAAAATTATTTGGGTAGAAAAGCATCAATATTGAAGATAATAAAAGTAAAAAATATCTTCCCAAAAAAAAGTAAAAAAATAGATGTTTACATTTTTGTTGACTCGCAACATACATGGGTCAACTCACTTAACCTGCTACCCGTGCAAGTTGCACCACGAAACCGGTGAGTTCACATGATTGAAAAATGACAACTCTAACCCACCGTGAAGTGAGATGAAATGGGCTAGCCATGCAGACTTTGACTAATTTTGACAGCTCTGTCCATAGTAAATTGAATTTTCTTTTAAATACTAATTGATGAATTCATGTCAATTCATTTTCCCGACAATTTCAATAAAAACTTTACGCACATATTTTCCCGTGCATTCACGGGTACACATACTAGTATTATATAAACAAAAGTGCCCAAAATCTTAAGGACATATAAGGACATCATTTTTTGGCCGTCTAAAAAAACTTTGACATTTCTATTTAAAGCAACAAATATATAAGTAAAATTATTTCTCTCTCCTCTACTCTAATTTTAACCACACATTTTGAACTTTACCAATTTATGTGCAAGTTAACTTTGATCAAATTTTGTGGCGGAGTATATGAAAGAAAACGAAAGAAAAAAGCTGAAAATATAAAACGCGTGGAATTATGGAGTAACTATCACAAATTTCAAAAAAATGTATTTTCGGACGAGAGAACGCGGCAAACACATTAAAGCCAGCGCGCCAAAACAAAAAAAAAAGATCAATTGTAAAACCTTATTCAATTAATTAATGCGACGTGACGTTCTGCTCGTCCCTGGACTCTGGCTTGTCACCTCCATTGGAATCCATTCATTTCAAAGCTTAACCAGGTATGGATAATGTATTCGATTCAAGTTCGTTTCCTTTTTTTCCCTTCATTTCATAATTCATCGCCGTATCTTAAATCTTATGTCTAGCTGATTTCCGGCAGAAAAAATTCCTCGAGTGCTGTTTCTCTCTTCTAAGGTTTGCATGTGAAAATGTTAGATTATAGCTTAAGAATGCCTCATCAGTATTCTTCTTATAGGGCGCGTTGAGGCAAGATTTCAGATTTTCAGGTATTGTAAAAATTGTAGATTATGGATTCAATTCATCTTGTAGCCCCCCCCACTGCTTTTTATGAACTTCAATAAAAAACATGAAATGTAGACTGAAGTTGATGATGACGAATTAGTCTGGAGTTGCTCTGATGGTGCATGCTAGACTGAATGCCTGAAGCATAGTAGGCCAAGAAATGTAGGTCTCGAGGAAAGGAACGAGTGTAGTTTAAGCCAAACACGCCCATCTACCATCGGCTCACCAGGTATTCACACAAATTCCGCTTCAAGTATTTTTCTAATGAATAAAGCCTCACATCATTGCCTCAAAACCACAGACATAGAGGGGGATGAGACCGAAACTGCCAAGCATAACACGTGAGACTTAGTGAAACCAAAGGACTTCAACACACCGGAGAATAAGGGCGGTCGAGTGGATGCCCCCACCTTTTGAGTGGTTGGTCCTCACTGAAAAAGAATCACGTTGATGATATAAACTAGGACATATCAGCCATAACTTATCTCCTCAGTGGTTGGTCCTCACTTCTAGTGCAAGTTACTAGCTACAGAATCTGAAATTGCTATCGTCCTTTCGAACTCCACAAGAAATATGAGTGCTATGACATTTGGTCTCAAACGTCAACTTTGTACCCAACTTATGCACCTATCTTGCCAAGTTATCCCTTGTTTGTTCTTCCCTATTTACATATGCACAAAAGACCTGAGTTTTGATATCATCAACAATTCCCTATGCTAAGCAATCCCACACTGGCCAATGGCTAAATGCTAAGATGAAAACCGTGGCCTTGGTCTATTCCTCCGATGAAACCTCAATTCTTAATATGATACGGAGTATGATCAGATTTAATTAAACTCTAAGTAAATAGATATTTAGATCCTGATAAGTCTAAGTAACAAGAACATGAACTTTAAGATATTGCAGGGAATTTTAAGCATCTTAATAGCATGAAGCAGTCTTGTGAGGAGTAGAAGTGAATAGAAGCACAAAATTGGAGTCAACCTTCACATAAATATTATCCAATCCTTAATCGATTGGACCCTCACCCACAGATTTAATTTCAGAAGCCACTATGGATAGTTAATAAGAGTTTTTGAAGCCTCAAATGAGATATCATTAGAATGTTATCTTCCCAATTCCCAATCTCCGCTTCATAAAGGTCCCAACTCTGTCTCTCATCTTCACAGTCTTCTCCAGAAACGGGAGTCAGTTCATTTAGCTCCAGAAACTAAGGTATGCTTATAGTGCATTAATTGACTTGCATCACATTTTACATTCAAATGCCCAATCGCATGTATACATGATTTTATCCCAATCACCCATCATAAAAACATCGCTCCCATCTTTAATTCTGAAGAAAATGTATTTAGTCTGAAGCATGATTGATGTCTCTATATGATGTGGCACATCTGTGCATTTTACGTTTTGATACAACATTTGGGAATATGATGGAATAAAGCATTTTTTATGTGCATTTTTCATCATTTGCAATGGAGCCAAAGGCTCACTATTTTTTGGCTTGAGAATATGATGGAATACTAAATTGTCTGTGCTTCTTTGTTATGAAGCACCAGTAGTTCATGCAATTTTGGACGCGATAGAAACAGTCTCTCTGTGTTTAGTATAGGTGTAAGACTTACATCCAACCCCCCTTACCCCACCGTAGGTGGGAGCCTTTGCGGCACCGGGGTAATGATTATGATACAATATTTGGGAATTGGGATGATTATTTATTTATTCTTTAGTAACTACATCAATCTCATGAAAATGGCAAGACTGTATGAGTGAACTTGGGCGATTATTGATGTATAGCAGAGTTTAGTTTACTGCTATAGTATTTTATTTTATCTTCGGCGATCCATCATTTTGATGGGAGAAATGATTCACGGAATATTTGTGAGTCTTGTATTCTTGTGTATGTTGCAGCACCTTATTTGATTTTTTTGGTAAATGGGGTTTACTGATGTAGTGATGTGCATGTCATATCTCATATGTTAATGAAGTCTAACCATTTTCAATTTGTCACCCATACCAATGATAAGCTAGGCATTCATGACAATGGCAACCAATTTTCTCTCTCCAAGAAATACTTGTTCATACATTTGTATAATGGAAATGTAAACTATAGACCACTATAATTGATTCCTATACCTCTCCTCTGGCATCAGACATACCTTATAACTACTCTCTTTTCTAGCATGAATGAAATTATACAAATTGCTTATTTCTACATTATGCCCATTTTTGAAGGGTCTTCCCAAGCAACACCTATGACATCTGCTGCAAGGCTTACACGAAAAATCACATTCCCTCTTGAATAAAGATATAACTGAATGTACAACAATTTGTTAGTCATCAAACTTCTACCTAGGAAGATTCTGTCTTCTCTGACATAGCACTATAACAGGGTTAGGTTAGCTCCCTATTTAGTATTTCTCTTTGCACCAGAAACATCCTTTTGAGTTTCATTTTTGTTCTTTGCCATCCTGCTTGCAGGGAAGTGTAGTCTAGCCATGAGAGGCCGCGGTGCTCTTGTTGTCTGATCAAATCCCCTAACACAAACAAATCCTGCACAATGTTTTTGAATTATATTAGCAAATGGGTCAGGGGTAGTTGTGGATACAAATATATCCTATCAGCAAATTGCTTGTAAAGTGTCATATTGCTATTTTTTTTTCCAAAAGATGCTCTTACCTCTCCAGAAGCAGTGTTGTATTTGTTCCGTTGACAAACCTAAGAAGCACAAGCAATTAAGAATTTTGATTTGATTCTCAAATATAAAATTGTTTCATCACAGGCCAATATTCATCAGTATACCTTTAAAAATTGTGGACACTGATGTCCCAAAGTAGACTGTCCTTCTGGGTAGATACCATATCATTTCTCTTGGAACATCAATTGGATTAAGACTGGATGCATGATCAGCAAATACCTGCAGAACCAGGTTCATGTTATTATCACTTTTTTTTATAATAATAAGATAAGCATAGAACGCTCAAGTTTGTTCTGTAGACTTGTACTATGGTACACTGAAGAAATATATTTCTATAAAACACAGTAAACCCTAAAAGACCCAACTGTCGCCCATTTGCACATTATAGCTTTCAATTCGGTAGCATAGATATTCAAATAGACATGCGATAGGTATCCAAATAGCTTTCATGATGTTTGTGTTGCTTTTACAAGATTATTTTTGCAATGGGATACGACAAAACAGCTCAACTCATTGCCATCTCATGATATTTTGCATGCAAGTGATTTTTTACATGATGATGACATTTTTAGAATCTTATTTCAACACCCCTTCTTTAAAATTTGTGAAAGAAAAGGCAGAAAGGCTTTAAACATTTCCACAATTTTCTGCATGAATTTACAGTGTTAACTCATTTTAGACAATGAAATGACACTACATTTCATGCTAAAGCCCCTGTCGTAGTTGGAACTAAACTGCCGATGAGATGTTCAATATCAATATATAGACTTGCATTATACAGTGAACAACTGATAACATTTTTATATATACCTCATTCACTTGGAAATATGTGCCATTGAGTGGGAAGCTCCCCCTTGTTGCTGTTCGGCATGGTATCTAAAACAACATAGGCAGGCATCTCAGCAATGGAAGTACTGAGCTATATTTTTGTTTATATTTGCAACTTTTTGTTGTTGTTGAAGATGTACTAAAGGACCTCTTACCAGAAGAGTGCCTCTAACTATTTGTGAATTGGTTTCCCGTGCACAGCTGCATGAGTAGCATGTGTTTTCCTCGCAAAGTCTGCCTGATGCCTGGGAATTGCACTTCGTGTCAGGCAACTGAATTGAACTGGCAGTTTCACCTGGGTCATTGGTGCATATCACGTTAGCATTTATGGTACAACAATATGGCAACTGTAATATCAATCTCTCCATATTATCTACTGTAGCTCTTCCTAACAAAGTGTATGCTAAAGACATTTTGAGTTACCCCTGTCACTAAAAAAGAAAGCAAAATTGTGTACCAATGCATGTACGCAAAGCATTTGTTATAGTAAAGCGGCCTCCCTCTACTTCCAAGACACTTTCCTTGCTCATAGGAGGTCACATACTCTAGTCCCGGTGTAAACATGTGCACTCAATGTCCCAAGAGCGCACCAGTACCCCTTTTGCTCAATTCAGTTTTTGGTAAGGCAATTCACTCAGTGCTAACTTACGGGCTAATGAACTACTCTACAAGAGAAGATGCGTAGTCTTTTCCATAAAAAGGACAGTACTATGAAGTGTGAGGAACATATATGTTTTAATGAAGCATTGGGGCAAAATGAAGAACTTATTTTTGACCTAGACAACTTGAACCTCAGCTATAAGAAATTGCTTGGTAGAGACCCAATTGAAAAAAATTGGTTGAGACCCACTCACGCTTCAGCTTCAATGGGATGTAACCTACTAGGGCATTGGCATTTGACTTTCTATTTCCCTCTTAAATCTTGTACTCCTAGTTCTTAATTTCTTACCCTTGTTTTCTTATGAAATGCAAGGCACTAATTTTTGCAATTTGCCAATGGAGTCCGAGATAGTAATATGTTAAGAATGTGTGGATCTGGGATAATTGAGTTAAATAGTTTGCTTACCTGGTGTCCATATCGCAAGAAGGTAGGGACTTGGATCATCAGGTTCACGTCTATCCATCTAAAGTTAAAGATTGTGGGTCAATGGTCAAGTTTAATCTCATGTAGCCAAATATATAACTTTAAACAAAGTGGAGACTATCACTAACCTTCTTGATCAGTGGATGTGAATCTGGAAGTTCATACCTGCAATATATTACAGACTCTGGCATTCAGCAAGAGCTGAGAAATACTAATAAATGTACTGTTGAAATGACATTCATTTAAACAATTGATAGAGCGACTCTATGTTAGCAACCAGAAGTTGGTTGACTGTTGCTCCTAATGATTAAGTGCATTGTATAAAACTCTAATAGTATAATTGGTCCTATTAATATCAATTGGTAGTACTCGAGTCAAACATGCTGAAATTTCTGTTCATTTGAAAATTCAATTGATGAAAGTGCATTGGCAAGAGCTGTTTGTGCATGTTTTTTTGTATTACTGTAAATTCCCCCTTTAGAAAGAGAGCCTTGGCCCACAGGTTAAGGTGATGTCGTGTGACCAAGAGGTCACAGGTTCAAGTCTTGGGAGTGTCCTCTTGTCCAAATTTGAAAAGGGAAGGCTTGCCCCTTATACACCCTTGTGGTGGGACCCTTCCCTGGACCCTCACCTTGCAGGGATTCCTTCATGCAGCGGGCTGCCCTTTTTGTAAATTCCCATTTTAAGATTTTCAACATACTTCTGCTGGTAGCCAAATGATATTAATAAGTTTTAAAATTAACTGGAGAGCTGTATGAGCTCTGTTGTCAGTATGTCACCAATTTTTAAAATTAAAAATTTCTTTCAACTGGAGAACTGCATTGATTCTGCTACCAGTATTTCACTGATTTCGAGAAAGTAAGAAACTTACACTTGGTGTTCCGTCCGCAGGTGACTAATATTTTTTAACTTAGTTGGAATAGAAGCGGCACTTGGATTCAAAGAAACCAAAGCTCTGGACAGATCACCTTCTTGCATTCCCATGTTTTGCTCTTGCAACACAGCTTGCAAATTTGTTGTGAATTCCTTCATATTGAGTTCAATTGTAGGAATGTAATCAGGATCATCATAGTAAGCGTCCTCGATATCACTTGCTGATACTTCTTGCAATGGCTCAGGTGTTGCGGGCTCCTCAATGATAGGTTCACAGTTGCTAGTACTGGCTCCAGCTGCCTCTCTGTTTAAGGTAGTTATGTGGGGAAGTTGTGGCATAGGCCAGTCCAAGAATGCAGGCATCGAGCCCTTTTCAACTGCAGCAATTGAATCTACATTACTCTTTGTCCCTCCTGAGCTTTCTGGAAGAAGAGGCATTGGCTTGAATGCAGCAGCTGGATTTCCATTGGCAGAGACAGGTACACTTGAACTAACCATACTTTTCTCTTCTGGCCCGGGAAGAGCAAGCCTTGCACTGCAGGTAGAATGTTATTAAACTAAGATATTTCATGTTATTACACTAAGATATCTTTAGACCATGCAATAGTTCTTATTTTTATACATTTTTGAGTTCATACAATGCTAAAAACTCTTTTTATACAATTCTTATTTTCATTAACTATTTGTTTCGTTAATGTATATGATCTTTTTGAAGGTCTATGAGGAGACTGAAAAATAGAAATTGATAAGCTATGGGTAAATACCCTAACAAGCCTTAGGCAAGTAAGGCAGTCACCAACTCTGTCATGCACACTATATAATACTCCCTCTGTCCCTTAAAATTGTTCCCACTATCCTTTTTGGGACGTCCCAAAAAATTCTTCCGATTTCCCCTTTTGGAAAGTTTTGTGTGGCTACCATTTCCACTTTATTCCCACTTTCTTAAACTCTGATCCAAGTCAAACCGGGAAGAGTTTTGCGGGACAGAGGAAGTACTATGTAATACTCTAAAGGTGATGTATTATTCCCAACTAACGACCCTTAAATAGGGTAAATGGAGTCATAAGCAAATAAGGAAAACAAATAATAATACCAAGGCTACCCATACTTACTAAAAGACTTTTAAAAAATAGGAAACCACTCCAAGCTTATTAATTAAATAAAACATAAACCAATCTTCAATCTTGTGATGCACTGATGCACCCTTCTGTCCATGGTCTCCAGGTGATGCTGGTGCGTGTGCCCATGAAGGCATCCTTATTACTAATGAATAATAATTAAGGATAATTAAGGCATCCATGGTCACTAATATTACTAATGAATAATAATTATCTTAATATTTGTTCATTGTACGGCTAATATGAACCGGTGAACTATTTGCCAAAAGAAACTGCTATTGTGTCAGCAATTTGGATAGTAAAAGATTTTGATTCCATTTAAAAACACACATATCAAAGTTTTGAAAAACTTCTTGACTCCAATGGTTATGACTATCAAAATAAGGATATAAGTAAGGATCAAATGCGCCTTCTATTGTCAATTGAGTTGCACATGATTTTATCATAGATAATAACTAACCTTGCAAAAGCACTTGCAAAGTGTCTGCATTCTGCTCTCATTGGACATGCATTACAATTTGGTTTACTCTTTGTGCAGAAAACCTGCAAGCCAATCATAGTCAATCATAAAGAAAGACAACTTTTAATCTCCAAATTGAACTTCAAGGCATTAGAACTATACCTTTCCAAATGTAATCATTTGATAGTGTAGCTCATACCTGCATTTAGTAGTATGCAATCAGTGACTCCTTGACAGTTAAGTTGTATGTTTGTGTGTGTACTTTTTGTGTGATGGGTAATGATTTAATCAATAGCTATTTCAATTATTATAATCAATTACATACAGTGTCTTCTGATCCAGCTTGCATAGTCTTGGCCATAAATACTTCTGAATTGTCTCCAATACTGGGTACCTGCAAGGAATCGTGGTAAAGTCCAATGTAGTAGAAAAACATTAGAGGAATAAACCACTGATGTTACTAACATCTCAAGAAGATGCAACTGGAGCGACTCAGGAAGTGGCTGAAGAGGAACCCACCCCAACCTCACAGCAATGCGTCCAACATTTGTATCAACCTAATATACGGAACTGTTAGAGCCAATAGCAAATGTTTGAGGATATTGACTTGCATAAGGAATCTTACAGGGAAAGCAAGATTGTGTAGTGTTAATAGCCGGACACACTCCACACTTTTCAGACCCAATCCTCGTATACTTAATAGATACTCTCTGAAATGCAAAAAGATCTAATATGTTGGAATATGTTATGGTGCAAGATGCAAGCGACTGATTAAACTTGTAACTCTAAACTCACTTGACTTTGTCTGGAGGCACATCTCTTAACCATTCTAGGTCCACGCTTCCATGTTCTCTAACAATTCTATTGAGGAAGTCCTGCACAAGATGTAAAATCAGCGGATGTCTTTTGGGTATTCTCCATTAGCAATTGTGGATAATTTTTCATCATCTGAAAATATTAGAAACATGATGAGCTTTCATGCATACCTTGATTCGCTCAGCCAGCATGTTGTTCATTCCTCTTTCCTTGATTGCATCGGATATTTCCTTCACTTCTGCATGCCGAAGTGCTTCATAATCAATCGAGTCCATTGCATCCTTGCTCCTTTCTTTTCTTTCACTATTGGATTGGGCTTGCTTTCTCAAGCTATCCCAATCAAATGCTATTTTATTGTCTGCTATCTTTCTCTTTCTTGCATTTACTGTACTCATGTCATCTACGATAGATTGTTTGCTTGGTGCATCTATCTGCAGCTCTGTTTGATTATTCTATACTTGTAAGTATTTAAAACCTCATGCTTAACATTTAATGTACAATAATAAGGGTTTAAGTATTGAGCAGTAAAGAATTTGTTCATGGAGTTACCTGATTGTCTTTTAGCACTGGTATCACCAGGATATGAGTGTGCAGTGATGGTGCTTTCTGGCTCAATTACATTGTATGTCTCTTCATGACTGGTGGGCTGATTGGTACAGCCAGAGTGAGAATCCTGCTGTAGATTAACTTGGTGCTCTGACTTGTTTATAGATCCGCCCTTAACTGGTGCTGCCGTGTTTTGGGCAGTTGAGCTACTTATCTTTCCTTCCATGTGTCCCACTCTTCTGCTATCATCAGTTTTTTCTGTGCTGATAGCTGATGAATGCAAAGTTACAGCTTCTTTCCTCAGACAATCAAAGACTGTTTCCTCCAATCCCAAAAATGGTTTCATGGTCAACCAAAAGTTACTGGAAGCAGTTTCTAAATTCTGAACGGATTGGATGTTAGATTGGATTTCACAATCAAATGCGCTATTGCTCTTTGCAGCTGTAACATTTTGTGTGTTGTACACTGAGTTTTCTGATTGCTGACATCCAAGCGGTGGGCTCACTGTTTCAAATAATGGAACACCTGTCTTATGGGGCTGAAATTTCTGGAATGGAGCTGTTAGTTCCATGTGTTGAAATATTTGATGACTGTTGAAGTTCATTAGACTGTGTTCACTAATTTGATCTTCAGCTTCTGAGTTGGATCCAGCACTGGATCTGACTTCTTCATGGGCTTGAAGTGTGAAAGAGTCAGAAGAATTTTGTGATGAAATGACTTCTTCCTCAATTCTCTTTGTTTGCTCCTCCGCCAAACAGACCTTTCCTGCCGTTACATTCTCTGTAGCATGTTCAAATTCTTCACTGGCTGTCAGAGTGCTCTGATTACATCCTGACTGCTTTAATATGGTATGATGATATGTGATAGTACCGTCTGGATCTATTACTTGAAACTCTGGTTCCTCCACCCATGCAGTTAGGCCATCTTGGCAATGTTTTCCCTTCATGCTACTTGGCTTTGGGGGAAACCTGGCAGCTAGGGACATGAAAGCAGAGCTGCATGCAAAGTAAAATACCAATAGAATGTTTGTTATTAAGCTGTCATGATGTCCAATTTGTCTGCTTAATATAATATCACTGGCTTTACCTTGAAAGATGGTCTGTCACATTCTGTGTGAGGAATACTCCTATTACAGAGTCAACTACTGAACCCTTCCATCGTGAAAATCGTCTATCTCCTGCAAAAGATAAAGGTACATTGAAGTGTGAGAAGCAAGATATGCTGTTGCAGAAGGCATTTGAGGTTATTCTTATGGAGTGCTTAATACCTAAAAAACCAAAAAAGTATATGTTTTGGTCATTAAATCCTAATTTCTATTTCATCTTAAAATATTGAATACTTAGTTTGGCACTTTCCATCTAGCCTGTGGTAACTTGTCCAACTGAGTGAAACACATCCTCAACAAAAACTGCAGTTCCACTGACTTAAAATTAGAGAGCAGTGGATTATGAGATTAGAGATACCTTGAACAAGATGCATTCTTGCTATGAATGAGTCTGCTCTTCCACGGAAAACTTCCCTTTCTCCGTCCCACCATTTCTCCTTATCCCTGTCCATTGTTTGTGTACCCTCACTACCTTCCTTCCCCATCAACAAGTCCCAAAGCTTACTCGTCTCTGGGTCAAGATCCACTTTAGGCCGTGGCTTTCGCCTTTTAGTAAGGTCATATCCTTCAAATGGTATCATAGTACCATCTCCTTTATATGGAACAAGTGCAGTTTGCTCATTTGGAACCTCACCGTTGTCACTGATAACAATGCGTTCCAATCGGATGGTGAGTATGTCAATTGAAACCGAGTGCTTAAAACCATCATGTAGCTCTCCTGCACAAACAGTACTATTGTTATTTTGAGTCTCATGATTAAGAAAATAGAGATAAGAAACTAGGGATGTAGCTTGTATACTCTGATAAGCAGATAGATACCTCTTGCTTTAATAGAGGCTTGTAGGTCACTTCGTGCTTTTTTGCTTTTCCTTGGCAGACGTTTCTTTGTATGTGCTATTTGATTTGAGGACTCCCTACCTACTTCCCGTGGTGTATTTAAGGAAGTTGTAGGGGGAGGAAGTCTTGTTCCTTGCCCTTGTAAAGACTCAAAATGAGAGAGGGATGCATACTGATTATTCAAGCTGTCTTGTTTGGGCATATGCTCTGCTACTATTTCTGCCATTGGGTTGCACTGTTTCTCATTATCTACTATGTGCAACTTACCTGACACACGTTGTCTCAGTAAATACGCCAAGGGATCCGTATGCCAGTTGTTCAGAATCCCATATGTCCCATCCCCTGCTTGTTTGGAAGACATTTTGCTATAAAGATTTGTATTTGAAAATCTTTCATCAACATGAGATGCATAGGCTTGAAGTCCTGAGAAATCTTTGATAGGTGTAACACATGAAGGTGTACTTGTTATAGTCCCACATGGCATATTCTCAGATCTCATTTTCTTGTGAGCTTCTGACCCTATCTCCAGAGAAGTGCAAAGAATGTTAGGCTGCACTGTCCTAGACATTTCAGGGCACAAGAAACTAGATCTTACCAATGCAATGTTTTGTGGACGGGACAACTCAGAATCATATTGTTGGTAGTCTCTCTTGGACCCCCTTCTCTCATTCTGTTCATCTGTTATTCCTTGGTTAATTGTATTTTGGTTGTATACATTTGGATCACTGTTTTGGTATAGGATAGCATTTGGAGCCTTCAGATTTCTAGCAATGGCATTCAATGTGTTGTTTTTACATGTTGCTGAAGGGGTGCTTGGTTGAATCGGCCTTGGGGGAACATAATGGGTTTCTATTTGCTGTTCTCCGATCCTTTGCTCATGTTGGACTGATGATGTAAGTGCCTTGCTAGTGTTTTGGGGAGCATCAAAGTTCAAACTACAAGGTTGGTCTCCATATATGCATGCTTCTTCTATCTTGTTCTCTGTTTCAGTTTTTTCATGGCTTTCTATTTCTTGATTTCCCAAGTTGAAGTTTAGTGCCCTCCTGCATGGTTTTGCATGATCTCCATTTGAAGCTGAGACCTCATTTACACCATTGGATTGCTCTTCTGGTTTGGACTTGATGCCCTTTTTCCGTACATACTTTCTTTTCCCAGTTGGCTTCTCCTTGGGCGTATCGGTCTTTTGAGCAGAAGCAGCCTTCCTAGGTGTCCTTTTGGGTTTCCCTTCCACCACCACCTTTGGCCTATGCTTTCTCCTTTTCTGAGGTTTTGGCTGGGGAGTCTGGGTTGGATCAATGTCTCCATTTAATCCATTTTCAGAGGTGTACTTCAGCACGGATGATGAATCTGGATCATTCAGTATGAGCCCAACACCATGGTTATCTCCTTGTGTACAACTGACAGCTGTTTCACGCTTCTTGTTTTCCTCTTGATTGGAGCTTTTCTCTTCTGTGCCTGGTGGCTGCATCCTCGCCTGTTGCACCTTATCTGGTGTTATTGGGGCCAATGTAGAGAAACATGCTGTACTGGAGCATGCTGCAGCAGCACCTGAGGTTGGCGAGCATATGCTCCAGTTGGTAGGACCTGTTGTGCAAAAATATCTGTCATAAAGCAGCACTCGCCTTCTATGGATCAAAACACACTATTCTTTAGGTGTTTTTCATTTACTGATATAACATCAAGAATTCTCCATTAACATTTAGCTCACACAACACATAGCTTTTGGATCAAATACAAATGATCCTTGGGTGAAAATGAGAATGAATATGGTGCATTATAAGACGGTGTACCACACTCACCTTAAAATTGCCTATCTAAGATTTGAAAGTGCAACCATGATACTTTTGATTTCATTTTATCTTCATTTTTCATGGGAAGATTGAAAATTATTTGTCCGAGGGTAGCCTTGATATTTCTTTTATTACACAGGAAAATATTGTGCAGTCAATCCTGAAGGTTTCAGTAAAGAAAGAATCATAAGAAGCACCAGTCATGCTTTTCATTGTATTTTAGTCTACAATCTCAATGCAATCAACGGTACCTGTTATTCCTTCTTGACTAATTCTCACTAAAACCGTGAGGAAAGACTGACATGAAAATGCCCTTATACACGCAAACACACACTACACACATGTATATATGACATGAAAAAAGTTTACCATGCGGCTGGTATTGCCTGCTGCAATCAGAAGCTGCATTTGTACTCGCTGGATGGCAATCATTATAATAACTCCCTTCAAACTGGGAATATGAATTGCAAGTAACCGGTTTATCAGTAAAACGGGCAGGTGTATCTGGTGCTGCATTTCTGTGACATGGTGTTTGTGGCGTGTTTCTCCTCCACAACACCTCTGCTAGAGTAGTAGGCTGTCTTATATTTTCCGCATATGAGTCTATATTCTGGTTCAGATTTATGCTTCTGACTGGAGTATTATTCCAGTGATTATTAGTAGGCCCCTCAGATGTGTGAAAAAATTGCGGCTTCAGTGAAACAGTGTTCTGGAAAGCCATCACGCCATCTGTTGGCCCTATTGAATTTACATTTGCACTCATCTCTGAAACTCTGGCACCCGGTTTCAGGATCTTTGCACAATTATCCATAATTGTCTTCCATTCCATCTCCGACTGCATTTTACTTGTAGGTAGCCGTTGTGGTTCTTCCTGATATAGCCTCTCTATTTGTTTACCTTGCATTCCAGCAGGAGTTAGATTTTGTGCTGGTAAAAATGGCCGCTGTGGAGATTCTTGGTGGTGATTTACCCTCTCCATTTGATTCCACTGCATGGCAGCTTGAGTAACATGAGGCTGGGTTGAAATTTGCGCAGGTAATTCTTGCCAGTTTGTCCCCTCAATCCAATTCCCTTTCATTTCACCTTGAATGAGATTGGGTCCTGGTAAATTTGGCCTCTGCAGTGGTCCCTGAAGGTGATTAATCCTCTCCATTGATCTACACTGCAATTCACTGTGTATAAGATCACTTTGGGTCAAAATTTGCCTCGGCCCGTCCTGCCAATTTATCTGCTCCATCTGAGTCATTTGCTGCATTCCACCTGGGATAAGATTGGGTGATGGTAAATTGTGTCTTTGCGGTGGTAACTCCTGGTGGTGATTTATCCTCATCTCCATCAGATTCACCGGAACAAGATCAGGCCGGTTTAAAATCTGCCAATTCATCATCTTCATCTGATTCGCTTGCAAATCCGCCGGAATCACATTGGGCCTTAACAAGACTGGCCTTTGAGGTGTCATTGGAGGGGGCTCCCCATTGTTCATAGCTCCATTCTCATGTTGAGGGATGAAATTTTTTCTCCCCAGATTCATGTATGATGATCTATAGCCTGGGTGGCACCTTATTCTTTTCTATAATTGAAGACTGCAACAAACAAAAAGAGAAAGAAAAAGAAAAACATTAAATCATATCTTCTCAATTCATAAAAACCACAGAACATCTCAATTCAATGAGCATATCTCTTTCTACCTAATCTGCCAATGCAAACCGGGTTGAAAGTGCATTTTTTTTATGCAGAAAAATAATAACGGAAATAGAATCATGCAATTACTGCTAGCAAATTCATTTCCATGAAACAGAAATAAATAAAACACTTTCCCCTTTCTAAAATCACGCCACCCAGCACCACTCTATCTGTATCTACTACAGTAATCACGAATTTCACACATCAAGTTTCCCCAAAATGACAAAAAAATCAATTAAAATTCAGAAAAAAAAATCAACAAACCAATCAGATAGACAAAGCAACAGTGATTATCAACAAAAGAAAGGATTTTAATCATGAAAATTAAATCGGTCAAGATCAAAATTCCCACGTGATCTGCTGTTTTTCATGGGGAAAAAAATGCAAATCACCTATTCACCTCACCGAAATGTTTCTTCTTTAGATTCCAATATATCTATCCATTTCTAAACCAATACAATCTGGAAAATAAAATGCCAATTGAATCTAGGCTCACCGATCTCCAGCTAGCTGTCACCGGAGATAGTCAAAACAGAAAACGAGTCAATGCCGGAGAGCCAAGCCTGCCTCGTTAAACTCAGGTGGAAAGAGAGAGAGAGAAGAAGTAAGCGAAATTACAGAGAGACAGCAACCACTTTTATATATACAAAAAAAGAAAAATGAGAACAGGTGTTAGCGTAGTAGTAGGTTCCATTTTTAACAAGAATGGCGGGATCAACATCTTCTATTCCAAAACTGTACTTCACTCCATTTTAAAACTCAGACTTCTCGTCACATGTATTTAACTTTCATATATTAAATACACGTGACGATGATCCAACTTTGCATTAAAACGGAATGCATAATACAGTTTTGGAATAAAAGTTCGCGTTTTCTTGTCATGAAGTACGTATAATTTTGGAACAGAGAAAGGTTGATTCTATCTGGGAAAGGAGACACCAGCATTTGGTCAAGTCCACATTCAATGCACAAAATCCATATTTCCTCCAAGAACTAAATGCACAGGATTATCTTTTGTTGAAATCTGATTGCTTTATTTGGAATATCAGTTATTAATTTCCTCCGTAATGGCAGAAAAGAAAAAAAAATTAAGTCTTTTCTAATTACAGAGCTCGCCGTAAATTTCGTGTGCCATGTTTACCGTAAAAAAGATTGTCCATTTTTATCAGATATCTCAGTGCTCATCATCATTTTAAAAAAGAATATTACTCCGTATAGAGTTTCTAAAGTGCCGTATAATTTGAAAAAGAAAAAGAATAAAAGTATATGTTACTTGAATTCGCACGAAATAAAATAAAACTAAGATGGAGAAAAAGTAAGCACCACCCGCACCCTAAGAATCTTTACATTTTTAACATTCCATTTCTACGCTTCACAGGCTATATACATAAAAATGTGATCATAGTAGAGAATTAATGAGAAAAGTAAAATTGGTAATACATTAATAATAAAAAATGATCCTAAACTGCAAAAACTAATAGATTTTTATATTTTTATATACTACATATGAAACATTGGTGTCATATGAAAAGATAATACTCCGTAGAAATAAAAAAAATTAATAGTTTTCTATGTTTAATAAAGATTATTGTTATCATAATTAAATGTTTTTTATAAATACTTTATGGTCACACGTTTCTTTGAGAATAAAATATTAAAATTTTAATAATTATGAATCCTTATGATAACAATCATTTAACTTTTAAAAATTTGAAGTACATTTACCCAAAACATCCCGTGCATTGCACGAGTGAAAATACCAGTATATATATATATATATATATATATATATATATATATATATATATATATATATATATATATATATATATATATATATATATATATATATATATATATATATATATATATATATATATATATATATATATATATATATATAGAGGGCTGTTCCTGTACATATGGATGTACAGGAAGCTCCGTACGGACAAAGCCATCCGAGGCCCTTCCCGGTGGAATTTTTTGATGAAATTTTTTGAGCATGTTCTTCATCAAGTCTAGTTTATCCATACCAAATTTCAGCTCAAAATTCGATCGGGAAGGCAGTCAAATAAATTCTTGAAATATACTGCACATTATATGTGCGCAGAATGCGCCATATATTTCAAGAATTTATTTGACTGCCTTCCCGATCGAATTTTGAGCTGAAATTTGGTATGGATAAACTAGACTTGATGGAGAACATGCTCAAAAAATTTCATCAAAAAATTCCACCCGGAAGGGCCTCTAATGGCTTTGTCCGTACGGAGCCCCCCGTACATCCATATGTACATGATCATTCCTCTATATATATATATATATATATATATATATATATATATATATGAGTGCTCTTCATGTCAGGCCGGCCTGACGGGCTGCCCCGTCCGGCCGAGCCCGTTTGGGCACCTTCCCGGTGGAATTTTTTGATGAAATTTTTTGAGCATGTTCCTCGTCAAGTCTAGTTTGTCCATATTAAATTTCAGCTCAAAATTCAATCAGGAAGGTCGTCAAATGATTTTTGCAAGTTAACTGGTCTGGAAAATACATATTCCGGACCAGTTAACTTGCAAAAATCATTTGACAACCTTCCCGATCGAATTTTGAGCTGAAATTTGGTATGGACAAACTAGACTTGATGAGGAACATGCTCAAAAAATTTCATCAAAAAATTCCACCGGGAAGGTGCCCAAACGGGCTCGGCCGGACGGGGCAGCCCGTCAGGCCGGCCTGACATGAACATTCCTCTATATATATTATATGGATTATTTTTCGTTATTTAGTCATTTATCATTATAGAACACGGATCAAATAAAAATCATTATTCCCGTGAAAAATATAAATCATTCACTTTTTTACAACGCGATGAAGTTTCTATATTGCACTTTTTCGCATTACCTGAAAACTTTGTCTTACATACCCAAATGTCACCGCGTTTTTTTTTATTTCGCATGCATGATTCACCCAAAATTCAAAAAGTGCATCACATTGAGAAAAAGTTACTACCCCCGTCCCTGAATTTACTTCCAAAATAAAGTGGCATGCGGATTAAGAAAGTGAGAATTGTGTGGTGGAGAGTTGTGCAGAGGAGAGAGAAATGCTGTGAACCACAAATTCTTTGCCAAAAAGGAAAAGTGAAGTTTTTTTTGGACGGACAAAAAGGGAAAGTTGGAAGTATTTTGATAGGGAGTAACATTTTGACGTTTTCACGTTAAATATGATTTTTGTTTGATCCGATTATACACAAGCACACACATGTATATATGTCACGTTTCTCATGTTTGGATTACTATAGACATGCTTTAAAAAAAGTTTGTTGCGTAAATTACCCATCACATTTCTCATGTTTGGCTCTCATTAATTATAGTACAAAATAATTTTTTTAATTCGCTTGTAAATCTACAATACCTAGGGCTATCAGTATAGTAAGGATGTTGAAGTCTTAAACCGAAAAGTTGTGAAGTAATAAAGTGTTATATTAAGACATGAGCTACTCCTACCAGATTAACTTTTTAGGATGAAAATTCAAGTATTAACATGATATCAGAGTCAAATCGATCTATAATCATGATGTTGACCCCTTTGAAAAATGACGCTAATTAAAAAAAACAATGACGAACCAAAGAAAAAAAAAGAATGATGGTACCATCAAGATGAAGTATCTGATCGTGAGGAGGGGTGTTGAAGTCCCACACCAAAAAATTGAGAAGTAATAAAGTGCTATTATTAAGATATGGGTTACTCCTCTTATGATGTTGACCTTTTAGGATGAAACCTCAAGTCTTAACATAAGACTGATCATTATTCTCACATGATATCAAGAGCCCTATAATTTTATCCAAATTTAATTTGTACATCTTTTTTGAAGCATGTCGGCTCCTCAAACTGTCGCTCCTCCCTCGATGGTGTCGCCAGTTCCTACAACCGCCTCTGCGGATGAAGGGGCCGTGGCCAGGGCTATGGTCTGCAGCCAGTGGCGGAGCCACATACAAGAGTGTGATGTCAATTGACACCACTCAATTTTTTGTAATTATATATAGATGTATATTCTTTAAAAAAATTAATTTGACACCACCTATATAAATGGAATGATTATCAATTGACACCACTCAAATATTTTTTGTAGTTATATATAAAGTATATTTTCTAAAATTCAATTTGACACCACCTATATTAACGAAATGAGGGTCAAAATATAAATATAAATGAAATAATTACATATTTATAACTAAAATAAAAGTTATTTACAAAACTAACGTGATGTCTTAAGTGTAGTGGCTACATTAGAAACTTTGTTTAGTAACTTATTTCAATTTTTACACGTAGGAGAACATGACACCGTACTATAGTTAAGTTTTAATAATATTTCTGTAAATAATTTTATTTCAATTTTTTAAAGTCTATATGTATTTACTTAACTAAAACAAAATTACATGTAATGAAATTTAGCCATGGTTATTATCTTTAACACTTTTCAATAAGTGATGCACTATAATATTTATTCAAGACAAATATAACAAAACTTGAATTCAAATCTTGACAAAAAAACTATGATTAAGGCTCCAAATGAAAGAATTGACAGATTATTATGTTGACTCTAAATTTATATAAGATAATGGTGTAACATAAAATCTAGATAGTTATTCTTTCGTAATATTTGATAAATTTATTATCATAGTGTTACTTTATTATTTAGCTATATTAAAAATTCTTATCAATATATAAAGTGCTTGAAAGTACCAACCATGAGAAAAATGCACAATATTTTAAAGGGAACATAATGTTAGATAATACCGAAATTATCACCATTTAAGAATAGTGAAACAAATTATGGAAATAATTAATTCATTCCCAACTATTCAAATATATATACAAAGTCAAATACATATATAAGAGATCAAATACAAACCGCTCATAATTTACAAACTATAAACTAATCTTGACCATCCGATTAGTTTATCTAATCTAAAGGTTGTATATGCACGGTGGTATTTTGGTATTAAAACCAAAGTTTTGGCTCAAATAATTGAAAAAAATGTATAATCATCAATAAAGTTTTTAATATTGTGTCATAGAAGTAGAATTTAGGTTAAAAAATTGACACCACTCAAATGAATCATTGGCTCCGCCAGTCTCTGGAGCCCTCTGGTCAGCAACAACATTCTTTCGGTCCGAATGCATGCATCGACTCTTCATCACATGCATCATACTTTGGAAATTCACGTGCAATTATATGTAATTCTTTTCACTCATCATTTTACGTTCCTTTTCTATCTACTCCCGCTCTTAATCATATATGTGCATGCTCTCTTTATTTTGGAGGAGTTTTAGGTTCTGTCTCTCCTCATGTTGTTTGCCAAATTTATTATTTTCTAGATCATTCCGCTGTTGCTTACCCTTCATGCAAGTTTTGTTCAACTCTCCGCTCCTGCATTGGTTGTTTTGCCCGTTTCATATGAAAGACCATAAAGAATTATTCAATTTAATAACTCGGGCAAAAAGCCAATAAAAACTCATAACAAATTTAAAAAGAAAAGAATCATGTTGTCATGTGACCTGAATGAAGGGAGGGTGATGTTAACTCCTATCGAGTAGTGTGAAAAGGGAAAGGGTGATGTTTAAGGATGGCAATGAGGGCGGGGACCCGTG